TTTTTATTTTTTTAAAGATTTTATTTATTTGACAGAGAGAGACACAGCGAGAGAGGGAACACAAGCAGGGGGAGTGGGAGAGGGAGAAGCAGGCTTCCCACGGAGCGGGGAGCCCGATGCGGGGCTCGATCCCAGGACCCTGGGATCATGACCTGAGCCGAAGGCAGATGCCCAACGACTGAGCCACCCAGGCGCCCCAAGAGCATGTTTTTCTATTTTCATTTGTCCTATCATTTTTTTTTTGGAGTCTAAATCCTCTGGTTGTCTAAGCCTGTTTGACCTGATAAAGTATACATTTGCTTAATATTTAGGCAAGCATATGTTTATGTGTTTCAAGCCAGTTTATTACTTAAAGTAGTCAAGTTGTCAGGTTGGTTGTAATATAGATTGTCAGCAAGATTTTCCTGTTTGAACCCAAATGCTACTATGGGTGAATAGAAAGGTAAGACTTTTTAAGGCTTTTCAAACTCTCAAGAAGTTTTCTAAAGCATATAATATTCCGACATGGCCTATTTTGGCTACATAAAAGAATTGCAGTCAGATATGTTGATTGCTGCATAAATAGGGAAGAATCTTACTCGGTGTTTTTTTGTTCTTAGAACAGCATAGAGACTGGACTGAGAAAGGGTAGTTTATCATAATAGTAAATAGATCAGGACTGGTATCATCCTGTGGTATCCATATACTAAAGTGACTTCATAGCACACCTTTCTTTTTTAAATGTTAGAAACCAATGGAAGTTCAAAGAAGAAAATAGTCATGATCTACATTTCCAGCATCTAGGATGAACCACTCAGCATTCTGATAAGCCTGCTTTTTCTATCTCTTTCTAAACTTTACTAATTATACAAGCGACATGAGTGGTTAGTAAACAATGAGCACAATAATACAAATAATATTCTATTTTAAATACTTTTATATGCTTATACAAATTTACATAGAAAATATAAAGTATTGTTTGTGAGAGTTTTTAAATGATATTATATTGTGTGCCCAGCCATCTTTATATTCTCTTCCCTTAACATTGGCGTTTAGCAGTCAATAACTAAATGTTTACTAAAGTAAAAATTGCAAATTAGCAAATAAATTGTGTATATACTTTATCCAAATTGAACTTCTGTTAGTTTCTTAAGTAGCTACGTTTTACTTTGCTTCTAGGCCTTCACACTTGCTGCTCCTTGTGCCTGAAATGCTCGGGTCCCACCTCGATTGCTGTTTCCTTGGGAGACCTTTGCTGATCATTTTCTGATGGAAGGAATTCCTTTCTCCATATTCCCATGCTCCAGGGCTTGGCCCTTTTCAATACTCATTTCCATTTAAAATATTTCTTTAGGGGCATCTTTCCTGGTATAGTGTAACCCCTTGAGAGCAAGGACCATATCTGCTTTTCCACTCCTAAATTTCTAGCGCCTAACTTATGGCCTTGTGCTTAGTAGGACTGAATAAAGGTTTGATAAATTGAATTGTGAGCATGTTTTTAATACTTTGGAATGCAATTCAAGGGGATGACAAAATAACAGTGCTTTCATAGGTCACTACTGCCTCTTGACACCTCCTTCTCTTAGCTCCTCTCCCCTCCCTTGCCATTGCCCATTCATGTCCAATCACGTCATTTTAACCTCCAAAATATGTATCGTAAGTCTGCTCATTTTTTTTTTTTTTTTAAGTAAGCTCTACACCCAACGTGGGGCTGGAACTCACAACCCCGAGATCAAGAGTCGCCTGCTCCACTGACTGAGCCAGCCAGACGCCCCACGTCTGCTCATTTTATTCCATCTCTGTCACCACCACTGTGGTCCAGTCTACCATCATCTCTTGCTCAGGACCACTAGAATAATTTGGTCTCCCCACATTCATCTTGTCATATCCAATGAAATAGAACAAACTAAAATGATAGCCTATTATGTAATAAGAATAAGTAGTTTTGTGACACTGTTTTCAGTTCTTATTTGCTGCATTGTGAGGGTATATGTGTAAGTTGTGTGTATATGAGTTAGTACTTGAGTACTTGGTTGCTCTATAGAATGTATTTCTTAATGTGGGACATGGTCAAAACAGTTTGAAAGCCATTGTCCTATACTGATAACTCTGGAGAATTCTTTTGCTCTGTCAGGATCAGAAGACTATTCTTCATTACCATGTGACCCTCTTTTGTATGTGTCTTTAAAGGAAAAATTCCTTTAAAATAAAGTGAGAAGTGAAGTCTTTTGGATGAAGCTATTTGGAAGTGGTCCCACCCTTTCTTTGTATGTTCCTCTGTGTCTCCTTTCAAGTTTAAGTTATATAGGTCAGTGGGTAAATCTTCAGGTATGAGTAGTTGGACAGAATTTAACTGTAATTTTTCTGCTTTTTTAATATACACACGCAAATAAGTAAATAATTATACTTATTTCTGTATTTATATTTACTCATTTTCTCCCTCCCTCTCACTCTATTGTTCATGAATATATTTTTTAGTCTTTTTCTTTTCCTTCTTATATTCTTACCTATTTTTGGCTTCTTTTCATGTCTATAATATTAATATTATCATAACATTGCTCTCATTGGAAGTGTGACTTTTGGGAACTTAAACATGAAAAGCATAAACACTGTCCCAGTATATGCCTTTCTGGTATATGCTTGGTGTAAATTGCATTTCTGGACCCTTTTGAACCTGCTCTCAAAAGGACAAGAAATTTTAGGTCATCCCTTGGAAGCAAACTGACCTGTTTAGGGCTAAACAAACCTTGTGGTTGTGTTAGGGAACTTTTCAGTTACTCTGATCTAGTTGTATACTGCAAAGAAGGAGAGGTCAAGAGACCTCTAACCTCATCATCCCCTTCAATCTTGGTTAGCACATGGAGCTTGTCTAAGTAAGACTGTGAACAAAATGATCATTTATATCTTTCCCAACCATGAAGTTTCTTCATCTCTTGGACTGTGTTCGACTCTCTTTGGTCTGGTAGTGTAGCATATCTTGATCTCTCACTATTTTGTTTTTCATTGCATGAGACAATTAAGGGATTGCTTATCCCTAGAAAAATCTGAAAATTAGTCAGGTGGTTATAGGGTAAGTGAGTACAGCACAATTATAGTGCCTTCATGGTGCTGGGGACCCGGGACCCTTCTATTTTGTTGCTTTGCCATCTTTAACTTGAGATGGCTTCTCCTGTCTCTACCACCACCTTGTTATCATGGTATCATAAAAAGGGAAACACGAAGAGGAGGGCATTCTCCTTTTCAGGGCACAATGTGGAAATCTATCATTTTTACTCATATGCCATTCACCTGACCTAGTTACATGGTCACACTTAGCTGCAAGGGAGGCCAGGCAGCCCTGTGTACCACTGAAACTTGTGTGACTGTGGACGAGAACAGATGTCAGGAGAGGAAGAAGCAGTTGCACCCTAATAGTCAACAACCTGAAGGAATTTACTGTTTTGTGAAGAGAAAGTTTCCACTGACGTTATCAAGTGGACTTCAGTTACTGAAAAGAGTTAGCCTGAGTTACTGTATTTGCCTTTGGGATTTAAGTCAGATTTATTCTACTGCTCATAGGGATGAGTGTGAAAGATATTAAGAGATGAGGTTGTTTTTCCTTAACTCTTACTTTTCCTGTGCTGTTTTTGTTTTTTCTTTTTTACATTTTTTGAGGCTAATTTTGTACTTGTTTTCAGGTATGGCACAGTCACAAGGCTGGGTGAGAAGGTATGCCAAAGCCTTCTGTAAGGGTTTTTTTGTGGCGGTGCCCGTGGCCGTGACTTTCTTGGACCGGGTGGCCTGTGTGGCAAGAGTGGAGGGAGCATCAATGCAGGTAAAAACAAATGTGGTTTCGTTCTTTATAGCACATGCTTCATGGTTTCTCATGTACTAGCAGTGGGATTTCTGTATATTATTTCTATGATGGGACCAGAAAAGTTTTAAAAAAGGCCTTGACCTGAAATTTAACTTACTAAATTTTTTTAAAAGGTCTTCTAATGTGGTCATATTATAAACAGGGTAGAGGTGAATAACGTAATTATCAAATAGTTCTCTATATCTATAGGTTTTTTTTAGTTTTTATTTTATTTTATTTATTTTAGTATTGTAAATAGAGAGTCTAAGGAAATTTTCCTAAATGACACCATTTTCTGTGGATATGGCCTGGGATTTTAAGATATTTTAATTATCTATATTTGAATCCATACTTAAATATCCTTTTAAGGCCAAATTATTAGTTGCAGGATGGGTTTGGGTCAAATTCAGTTACTGTGTGTGTGTGTGTGTGTGTGTGTGTATATATATATATATATATATATATATATATAGTTACTATCTCTATCTCATTGTCCGTATGTATATATATGTACATACACACACCCAAAATATGTATGTATGCATAAAATATATACATACTATATGTATACACATACTCAAGTGTGTATATATACATAAATACACATACGTATTCAGGTATATATATGTATGTGTACATATGTGTGTATGCATATACACTTGTAGAAGGTAGAAAAGTCTAGAGCACTGGTCCCAGATATTCTGGGTGTGTTCTCTAAGCATGTTGCTGATTGAAAATATTAAATGCAGTTTATATTGGAAGAATTTCACAGTGGAGATTTCCAAAACTTGTATGCAAATAGTCTTCTGGAATAACTTAGAGAAGACTTTGGTGTTCTAAAATTGATGTCTAGGGCGCCTGGGTGGCTCAGATGGTTAAGCGTCTGCCTTCGGCTCAGGTCATGATCCCAGGGTCCTGGGATCGAGTCCCGCATCGGGCTCCCTGCTCCTTGGGAGCCTGCTTCTCTCTCTGCCTCTCTCTCTCTCTCTCTCTCATGAATAAATAAATAAAATCTTTAAAAAAAAGTAAAATTGATGTCTAGAACCTAACCGTGTAAGTTTATGTAATTAAGAAGAATTTGCATTTTGTGATATGATTTGTTTTCTTCCATTATGAGCATGTATTAAGTTCACATTGTGCTAAATAGCTGTATAAAACAAGTAAAATGAATATATAAGCTTGTAAGAGCTTAAAGTTGTATAAAGAAAAACCATTTTGTTTTTCCTTTTTTTTTAGTCAGAACTAGTTAAGGGCATAGGTATCAGCTTTGAGGAGTTAGAATGAGTTTGCTTTTTTAAATGTAATTTTTGTATTGAAAATCAGATCTCTTCCTGAGTTCTGGTAATGAGTGCTGTTTTGCTATACAACCATTACTATTCCGACATAGATTTTTCCAGAACACAAAGCCTTCTTACCTTGGAATTGATGATATTCCAGAGGATCATACGGCAATCATAGTATCCTAATCTTCATGTTTTAGCCCAGTATATACCCACTGAACATCTGTGTTCATGGTTTGTGTTAAGAGGGAATTCATTAAAAAAATATAAGAAATTGATTGTCTTATGAAAAGACAAGGCTTATCCCTAGTTAAGAAGGCAGTGAAGAAAGTGTTAAATAGTGTCATTCTTAAATGCCAGTCTGTTAACTCAGATTTTTTGCTGCAGCTACATTTGCTGCAGATACATTTCTTACAGTGTTCCTGGACCCTACTCCCCAAAGAAGTCAAATTTTTTACCTTGTAGTTTGGTATATTATGTAGAATTTCCTTGGCTACTGATTACAGGAAAACAGCTTGAATTGAGTTAGATATACAGGAGAGTTTATTGGAAGGCTTATTATGTACCCAGGAGGAAGGCAGAAGTGTGGCCATCATCAGGGACAACTGGTCCGGGGATTTGGACACTGCAGGGTGCTCCGTCTTCTGTGTTTCTGCCATCTGTTTCTGTCTGCATCTTGGCTTCACTCTCTCAAACTGGCTTTCCCCACCATGCAGGCACACTGCTGCTTTAAGATGCCCCATTTCATCACCAATTGAGAGAGATTTCTCCTCTTGCCTTAATTTCACTTTGAAAGATCTTGGGAAAGACTGCGATTTATTGTTTCAGTCACGTGCCCTTATCTATACAAATATAGATCAACTTTGACCAGTGGGTTAGAGTGCCATGCCCAGCTTCAGACAGGTACACACACCCCTAGCCTGTGGCTAGGCTCAGTAAGAAAATGATGGTATATATTTGAATCACATTGTTCCATGGGCCTTCAGCTTTCAGGGTAAGTTAGGGGTGACATTTCCCAAAGAAAGTGTATGGTATTTTCAGAATAAAAGAGGAAATGATATCCTGGGAAGAAAATAGAGATGTGTGTTTATTACAGTTGGGTCTGTATTTTAGGATTTTTTGACTCCTTCTAAGTATAGTAGAGAATTTATTTATAATTTCATGAGATATTACTAAAACATACTTAATTAGGAGCAGAAATTGCAATCATGGGATATAGTGATTAATTAATGAAGCATTTTTTAAGACATCTTTGCTACTGTACAGCTTTGATGAACTGAACATGTTTAGACCATGGGGTTCAGCAGAATTTTTGACCAAAAATTTGACAAAAAATCTTGCCTTCAATTTTCTGTAGTGACACAAGTACTAAATAGCTTGCAGGGTATGTGGACATCTCTGGAAGTCCCCGAGCATCTTGCAAGGAACATACCTGCTTTTATTGACTCTGAGGCCTGAGAATTATATCTGGTATTTGGCAGTTGGTTGATTTGTTCTGAAGGAAGGGAGTTCTCTGGATGTGTGGTGATGCCTTCTTGTGCCAGGTTTAGAAGTATGAGAGAAAGGTAGAAGAAGCAATTGGCAAGAAATAAAATGAAGTGTGGAGAAGAAGAGGAAAGAAAGTAACCTAGATTGGTTGGGTAGTTGAGGACGATGGAGAAAATGAGACAACTGGTACAATGAGCCAGAGGCAGAGTGGCACAGAGGACCAGTGTGAAAGAGACTCAAGACAGAAATGTGCTCCCCGGAAGGCATTGCTAGGCCCCTTTGTGAGACCTCCCTTGGAGCTGTACCCTTGAGTGCTGATACATCTCTGTGGCATGTTTGTGTGTAGCACCGTGAGATATGTCATTCTACATCTCAGTATTCATTGAAGGAATCTGTGCCATTTAGAAGGAATTCATGTTGGTGTAGTTTACCAGTCTTGAGAATCATTCATTGTGTAGTGCTTTAGAATTCCTGTGTATTCAGGTGGAAAGATCATATCTAGTCATTTCTGTCATTTCAAATATATGAATCATTTTGTGACTCAGGAGGTCATTTTGAGATATGGACAATAATGAAAAGCAGTGGTAACTCTGAGTTGGAATAGGGAATCACTTATCAAATGGCTATGAAGTGTGAAACACTCTTTTAGGTGCTGTAGGGGGATGGCAAATCAGGTACGGATTCTGTCTTCAATGTACTTTTACTTTAGTAGAAGTGGTTCAAAGTAATTAACTCAATGATGGATACATTTTCAGATGAGAAGATATCAAGCTGTCAGACATATTTGGCCAGTGCCTGGTACTGAAATGAAAACCGGTTTGCTTTAGCATACTATTTTGGAGCATGGACCTGGAAGTTTTAATTTGGAATAGAGTGGTACCAGAGAATAATACCTTGAGCCCTTTTATTGTTGGTCACAGTATTAACTTTTACTATAGCAATAAACTACCCTAAGATTTCAGTTGCTTGCATTCAGATCATTATTTCTTGCTCATGGGTCAGTAGGTTAACTGTAGTCACTCTGGACTATGGGTTTGGTTCCCTCCACTTCATGTATCTTTCATTGTGGGACCTACACTGAAGGAGCCATGGCTGCTTGGGGTATGTTCTCACGGGTGATAGCAGGATATCAGAGGGTGAGTAGAAACACTCAGAACCTCTTAAAGCCTCAGTTCAGAACTTCTACTCTTCTGTTCACATTCCATTGGTCAAAGTAATTCACGTGTCAAAACCCAAAGTCCGTGAGTTCGGGGAGTCATGGCAAAGTGAGGAGGGAAGGAAGAATAGTGAGTAGGTGAGTACACAGACCACAGCCACTATGACTCCAACGATACCTGGTTGACTTCAGAGGTAATCTAAAAGTTGTTTTTCACCTTTGAGTCTACCTCCAATGACCCTAGTCTTTGGAGTCAAAGACTGACAAAATTGGAATAGATTGAAATTTTGAGTCACTGAATTCTGGAATGGGTTGATCCATTTTAGATGTCTTTAAGTTGGAGTCATCCGGGGCCACTTGGATCATCACTTTAGAGTGGCTTTTCTTAAAGGTCACTCTGCAACTTGTAGACATGTTATTTAAGAAAATCCAAGGACTGAAAGATCACATCTCATTAAAGAGAAATAGAATACCAGTCTTTTGGAGTATATTGAATAAATGCTGTTATAGCAACACTGGAAATTCACTTTGGTAGCAAATTTTGCATGAGAACTGTTTCTTATGTCTTTTTAGAATTCTGCTGGCTTGGGATTTAATAGGAAAGGCTTGTTTCCAGGATTCCTTGTTACAAGAAATCTTTACTTTTTTTTTAAAATTTTATTTTATTATGTTAATCACCACACATTACATCATTAATTTTTGATGTAGTGTTCCATGATTCATTGTTTGCGTATAACACCCAGTGCTCCATTCAGTATGTGCCCTCTTTAATACCCATCACCAGGCTAACCCATCCCCCAACCCCTCCCCTCTAGAACCCTCAGTTTGTTTCTCATGGTTCATCTCCCCCTCTGATTTCCCTTCCTTCATTTTTCCCATTCTACTATCTTTTTTTTTCTTTTTTTTAACATATAATGTATTATTTGTTTCAGAGGTACAGGTCTGTGATTCATCAGTTTTACACAATTCACAGTGCTCATCATAGCACATACCCTCCCCAATGTCCCTCATCCAGCCACCCCATCCCTCCCACCCCCCACCACTCCAGCAACCCT